CTGGGAACGGTGTAAAGCGCTGTGTGGTGAGAGCGCTGTGTAAATGAGGTGCGGAGCTGTGGCCGTGGAGACAAGGAAGATGACGCTGTATAGAAAAGAGACGCAGGGGAGAAATGTAGGTAAAAGAAAGATGTGTAGCCATGTGAGAAGATGTATGTATGTAAAGATATGTAGCTGTGTGGAGACAGAAAGAGTCGGAGACCATTTTTAAGCTGAAGTAAAAGAGAAAGTTAACACCAGAAAACATGTGTATCTTCTTATTTTACCAGTCAGGTAGATAAAAACTTATTTCTAATGACCCTAGAAAATGTCTAGCCCTCAGATAGATAAGAACTTTTCCTGAGCCCTTGCCACCTTTGTGGATTTTCTTGCGTTATCCTGGAGCAGGCTCCCCATAAGGCCCTGACAAGGTATGAGGAAGGTGTGTGTGTGTGCGTGCGTGCGTGCGTGCGTGCGTGCGTGCGTGCGTGCGTGTGTGTGTGTGTGTGTGTGTGTGTGTGTGTGTGGTCATAGCAGGTAGGTGAACCCAGGCCAGAGGTCCACCCTCAGTGCCTCAGTGTCCTTGCTGTAAAATGAAGCTGGTGACAGGTCTGCTTCATGAGGGGACCGGGGGCTGATGAAGTGGTGCTTGTCAGGGCTCAGGCTGGTAGAATGAACAGGCTGTGGGTGCTGTCTCCTGTTTGCCTGCTCTTGCCATGGTGATAAGCCCGGGGTGGACTTCTGAGCGGAGGTGGGTCTGAGCATAGATAGTGCCTGCCATGGACAGCACAGTAAGATGAGCAGGGGGACTCTGTCTGTTCACATGTGTATGCACACCTAGGTCCCCAGGCAGCGAGGCGGCTCCCAGGGACTCCGTGGAGACCCAAGCGCCATGGCCAGGTACCCTGGAGAAGAGCCAGGGCCAGTCTAGCAGCCCCCAGGGCCAGGCTAAGGAGGTGGGAGAGGTCACAAACAGTAAAGAAAGAAGAGGTATGTTTACTTTAGAGAGAGTCCCCAGGTGACAGGAGGAGGGACAGAATGGGGAGACAAGCTGGAGGAGGCTGGAGAGATGGAGACTGTGTGCTGGGCTGTGTCCTGGGGAGTGGCGGGCACAGAGGTGGCGTCTGTGTTAGGAAACAGCGCTGTTCACCGGTGTGTGGGGTATGGAAAGCATTGCTGTAGGGGAGAAAGTCCTGGTACAATATTAACTGCACAGAGATACCACGTGTCATAGGAAACTGGATCCTGGCAGATATCCAGTCTGCCTGGCAGCCGTGTGGATCCAGAGTCCTGTCTCTAAGTGCGTTCTATTGATTATTACTGGCCAATTCCATATGGGTGTATGTGGCCCTGATGTATCCAACGGAGGAGGGGCATACAGATGGGGGAACAGATGGTGTAGACAGCATCTAGTTGCTACTGATACAGATCCAAGCAAGCATGCACTAGACATGTTTTTTTTGGTGTGGATTTGTGTTGTTTTGTTTTGATTCAGGGTCTCACTATATAGTCACAACTAGTATGGAACTTGCAGTATAGCCCAGGCTATCCTCAAACTCCCAATGATCCTCCGAACTCTATTCCCAAGTTCTAGAATTGCAGGTGTGCACTACTCTTCCCAGGTAATATTCTTCCCTTTAAAGAACAAAGGCAGTCTGGGGAGAGAGCTCAAAAGGCCACCTTGAATCCCGAGAACCCAGGTCAAAGCCAGAATTGTATCATGGGCATCTGTAATCTCAACAGTACTATGGGGAGCTGCAGAGTGGAGACAGGAGAGTTCCCAAGAGTTCAGAGACCAGCTGAACTGGTGTGTGCAGCAGAAAACCAACAAAGAGAGAGATCCTGTGTCAAACAAGGTGGAAGGTGAGGACTGATACCAGAGATTATATACACACAGACACACAAGCACACACACACAATTCAATACACACATACACAATTCACATGCATACATATACATATACATATACATACACATATATACATATATGCATATACACATACATACATAAACACACACACACACACACACACACACACACACACACACACACACACACCTGCAAAGCCTGGTGCAATGGAGGATCAGGATTCAAGGCTAGCCTGGTCTACATGAAACTCTGTCTCAAAAGCCAAAATGAAGGCTAGAGAGATGGCTCAGTTGTTGAGAGCACTTGTTGTTCTTATAGAGGATCTGGGTTTGGTTGCTAGATGCGCACAGTGGCTCATAACTCCAGTTCCAGGAGTCCCAGGCCACTTCCTCTGGCCTCCATGGACACCAGGCACACACGTGGGGTGTACAAGTATGCACGAAAGCAGACATTCACACACATACAATATATATTTTTTTAATCTTAAGAAAACAAAAACAAAAAACCAAACCAAACCTTCCTCATGTCTTTCTTTTCTCTTTGTGCCTTGCTGGGGATGGAATTCAGGGCTCTGAAACACCAGGCAAGCAGGCAGTCTACCACCGAGGAAACTCCAGCCTCATTCCAGTTTGATGGGGAGACTGGGGTACGGAGACGGGAGGAGACTCTCTCAAGGTTCCTTGTACAGTTTGGGATGAGTTTTGTCAGCCTTTCACATAAAGCGCCCTGCTGTGGCTATCGCTCTGTATAAATAAAATGCTGATTGGCCAGTAGCCAGGCAGGAAGTATAGGCAGGACAAGCAGAGAAGAGAATTCTGGGAACAGGAAGGCTGAGTCAGGAGACGCTGCCAGTGGCCGCCATGAGTACCAACATGTAAGATACTGGTAAGCCACGAGCCATGTGGCAAGGTATAGATTTATAGAAATGGGTTAATTAAAGATGTAAGAACTAGATAGCAAGAAGCCTGAGCCATTAGGCCAAACAGTTTAAGTAATACAAGTCTCTGTGTGTTTTGATTGGGTCCGAGCGGCTGCAGGACTGGCAGGAGAGAGAGATTTGTCTTGACCATGGACCTGGAAGGACCAGGAAAACTCCAGCTACAGTGCCCAGCTAGAGAGACCTGAAAACCATGTGAGTTTGTTCTTTCATCTGAAAGAGGTTGGATGTTGGTGTCAGGGCCAGGCAGGCAGCTCCACCATCATGGGGGCTCCAGCTCCTTTTCCTGTACCCTACACCATCTTTAGTCTGTTACTTCATGAGCTAACGTAGCTGCTGGAGCTTGCACCATCACACCCGTATCCCACTATCCTTATGATACATGTTTGCTCAGTTGAACTCTCTATTAGCCACACCCCCAACACCCACATGGCCTCAACACCAACAGGTGAACACAGGGTGCCAGGAACACACACCCACACCACACCCACACCCACACCCACACACACACACACACCACACATCACACACACAGACACACAGACACACACACATGGTCTTGTGTAGTAGCCCAGGCTGGTCTCAAACTCAATGAGCTTTCAATACTTCTGTCTCCACCTCCTGAGGGCTGGGATTACAGGGGTGCACTACACCACGTGCACCTGTATATTTAGCACTGGGGATGGAACCCAGGGTTCCATCTGCAAACTCCAAGTAATCCTGTGAACGCTGCCCACTGAGGAGGGGCTTACTGAGCCTTTTCTCCCGGGGTGGAGCTTTCATCTCTGTTGGGAAGAACAATGGCTGACGTGGGGTGTTTACACAGAGGTCACACCCGCCCTGCTGGAAGCCCTCACCCAAACTGCTCCCTCCATGTCACTGGCCTACACTGCTGATGGTCTTCTGTTTGTCCTTCTGTCTGTCCTGTCCCCCCTCCCTTCTACCCGGCTTCATGTGACACAGTATCCGCCCCCCCAAACCCACATGCTCTGTAGCTGTCCCCAGGAAAGGAGCCAGTGTTGATCTAATGCCAGGAGATTTTTCCATTTGAGATTTGAAGCCCTTAACAGCCCTGTAGAGTTCAAGAACTGACAAGTCCAAGAATCATAGTACCCCCCAGGCAGGTGGTGAGCAGCAGAATCCAAACTCTGGCTCCTCATGACGGCACAGGAAGTGCTCTTAGCTGCTGAGCCACCTCCCTAGCCTCAGCACTATCCCGAGAGCACAGCAGAAGCTCAGGAACTGAGCGGTTAAGATCCCTGGCTTCGGATGAGGAGCCAGGATCAGGTCTGGGCCATCACCTGGGTACCCCACGGATGCAATTGGGCCCATTCCTAGACCTCTTTATCTGCCCCCCTCCCCAGATGACCACACGGCACTGCTAGGATTAGACTAAGGACAGGCGTTCGGAGCAGAAACCCCACAAATGGCTCTTCTGTCGGCTCTGCTTCTGCCAACCTCCAAAGCAGCTCTCTGCATCTGTGGATTGGCAATGAGAGGCTCCCAGAGGTCAGAGAGAACTCCGTTCCCCATCCTTCAGGCTTCTATCAAATGAAGGGCACCTTAGCTAACAGGGGACCAACCGGGTCTGCATCACTTACTTTGTTACTGCTGGGGACATCACTCTTTCTCTGTGGGCCACAGCCCTATCACCTCCTCCTGTCGCCTGTTTAGAGATACTTAACAATTTTTTAATCGTGTGTGTATGTGCGTGTGTGTGTGTGTGTGTGCACACACATGAATGCAGGTGCCTGTGGAGGCCAGCAGTAGATCCCAGGGAGCTGGGGTTACTGACATGGATGCTGAGAACTGAACTCTGGTCCTGGTCAAGAGCAGGATGTGCTCTTAATTAACCACTGAGCCATCTATGTCTCTGGCCCTGAGACACCTGTTCTGAGGTCGAGGCATAATCAAAATCTGTGTGTGTGTGTGTGTGTGTGTGTGTGTGTGTGTGTGTGTGTGTGTCTGTCTGTCTGTCTGAGGTTAGGGTCTCATGTAGCCTCAGCTGGCCTGGAACTTGCTACCTAGCTGATGATGGCCTGAACTCTTGACTCTCCAGTCCTGGCTCCATAGCACCTCCTTTAGGAAGGTGCTCCTTAACTCCTGGAAGGGGTTCAGACCCCTTGGCTCCCCATTCCTGCCCTCCTATGCCATCCACCCACATGGTCCCCAACAGTCATCTAGACCGGTCAAAACAAACACGAGCCCCAGGAGACCTTGGTAAAACTTTATTCACAAACTCCAGACCCCTAGGCCTGGCTCAGCCAGAGGGTACATTCTTAGCAGTGGCAAAAACCCCAATATAACACGTTCATCCAGACTAACCATTTTAATTTAAATTAAAGCATTTCTGGAAGACAAATGCAATTGATAGAAAATATAAAAACTTTTACTGTACAAATTTTACATCACATTCAAAATGAGCAAATAAACGTGTGCCTTGTGGCCACAGAGACACCGGGAGCACACACCGATGATGTCCTGGCTAGTGCCGCAGCACAGCATGGCTATTCCACCCTGCTCTGTCACTACAGAGCAACACACGCTTGCCACTCCCGGCCTGGACCACAAGAAGACAATGGCCAAGGGCTTCAGTTTGGTGCATAGGAGCGGCCAGACAGACCAGCACTAGCTAGGATTCATGACTTCGCCGCCACTCTGATGGGTCAAGGCCTCCCTGGAGGCGAGACTGGGAACTCAGAGTGCCTGGAAAAGGACAAAGTTTCTGCTGGACTCAGACTTTTTAGGTGGGCAGACCCCCTACAGCTCAAGCCTCTTTTCATTGCCTTCACAGTGGCTACAGGGGCTGAATTCACAGTATCTGTCATTCTTCATGTGTTTCCCGGGAGACAAGGAGAGCACAGAGGAGGCCGACTTTCCTAACCTCAATTCACAGTCACTTAAAGTAGAAAAGGAAACGGGGACCATGATGGGGGACTCCCTTAAAGGAAGGGCAGTACGGAGGAGGCCTCAGAGAGGAAGTGGGGAAGGTTCCAGCACCCTCGGGGCCAAGTGGCCCCAGGGTCCCAGGCAGATGTTGGGTCCCCTGCATAATGGCCCCCGGCAGATAGACAGCTCTTAAGGCAGGGACCATGACTACTCCTATCTGGTCCCCAGCACAAGGCCACATTCACTGCAGGGCTCAAAGCTTTCTGAACAGAGATGTTCACAGTAGAGAGCGAGACCCAGGCTCGCCGTCAGGGGGCTGTGTGTGATGCCCCGTGTGGTTTGGTGCCGCGGGATGACTGGAAGCGTTAACCCGGCTGCCAGCCTGATGGCTCATGTTCTACCTGTGAGGGGAGGTCAATGTCATGACATTTGCCAAGGGAAGGAACGGCCAGAGGCCCAGACACTGTGGCCTCCGGGGAGGTACGGCCATGAGACAGCCAGAGGCTGTAGTCATACACCACGAGGTTTGGGAGTCAGGAGGTCACACCAAGGGCTAGGGTGGGAAGTCACAGGGATGAGGAAGTGATAGGACAGTTCCATTTCAGAGGACAGATGACCCACGCAGAGCTGAACACAGGCTCACAGCTCTTCCTCCCCACACTGGGGCAGGGTCACGATGCTCCTGTCCCAGCTCTCCTGTAGCATGAACAACTGTGCTGCGGGGGTGGGGGATGGGGTGGGGTGGTGGGGTGGGGGGATGCAGGCAGAGTCCCACAACTTCTCAGAGAATGGCCTGTTTTATCAGACACCTGGACCAGGCTCTGACGCTAGGGCAGGTTCTGAAAACTGAGGATGTGTTTGGTGTTTAACGAAGAGGGAGCCACCCGGCCATGCCACAGCGGGACCGTGAGCCTAGGGGCCTGGACCTAACCACCTCTCCACTCCCATTTCTTCCGCACTCTGGTCGTGGGGTCTGTAGGTGACAGTTTCTGCAGAGCCCATCTGACTTACCCCGACCCAGCCCTCCTGCTCGCTGGAGTGAACACAGACGTCGGAGGCCCACAGATAGGGACTTACTAGGTACGTCTTACTGAATGAAGTGTCTGGACAGCCTCATGCCCCCGTCTGAGCTCAGGGCACACACAGGAGTCAGAATGGGCTAAAAGGCGTTGATGAGACAGGGGAAGTGGAAGTGGTGAGAGGTCTGGAAACTTCTGGCACGACAGAGGTGAGTTTTAAAGTGCTAGGGTCACCAAGGGCCGTATTCACCTCTTCTCTATTCTCATCAATCAAGAACACACTGTACACACAGCTGACGGGCGAGCTCACGGCTCCGGGGGTAAATGTGAGGCATTGGGGGTGGGGGGTGATGATACAGGCTGAGTTCCACAGGCTTCATGTCTGCCTGGAGGCCTCGGAGAAGCAGCAGATGTCTCCCCAGATGTGTGACTATTTCCTTCCCCTGTGGTAGAAGCCGGGCTAAGATCCATCAGATCCATCTAGAAGCCACTAGGATTCTGTCTGTACTTTTTAGCACACCAAGCCGGGATCAGAGCAGAAACTAAATCCAAACTCTTGAGGAACTCCTGACCCCATAATCCAGAAGGGTTCCTAGCCAGGCTTTCTCCCACTAGCTAAGGAAGGGTTGGTGTTCCTTATGGACAAAGAGAGGGGCCAGTGGGGGTCAGGGCCAAAGCATAGGCCAGGGCAAACCTCCCGCCATGTCCTCTTTCCCCAGAACAGCTACATTCATGCTGCTTTTCTTCCTTCTTGCTCAACCCTGGGCCCCTCACTGCTGCAGGACCTTGGAGAAGGGGGCAGCGAGAGGGGGGGCATTTCTGTTGCTCCGAAGTGCCAGCCCCCTTCTGTGGAACTATTATTAACTACCATAAAACACCAAGCTTGCGGGGCGGAAACCTCTGTGTAAACACTGGCTTAGTGGTGTCATCTGGAGTGGCACGTACGGCTCCGATCCTGAGCCCCCCACACCGCTGCCATCACATTCCTCACGGAGGAGTCATACTCCTGGTCTGTAGCTTGGCATGCAACGCCTCTCTCGTTCCTCGTGGCGGTGGTTTGCGTGTTTCATAACCAGGTTTCAGAAAGGGAGACACCCTCTGCACGAATGTGCATGGCCGGCTACATCTTTGGATTACTGGACTCCAGGGCCCCCAGGCCAAACCTTTCAAAGCGGGGCATGATTTTGCTGCTGTTAATGCTGCGGAGAGGAGCAGAGACATGGATTATGGCTCTGCTGGTTTGGACCAGAGTTAAGGTGTCACTGGTTATGCTTAGCAGAGGATCGGAGTAAGGATAACTTCTTGGCCGAGCTGCTCCTGGCCACCCTAAGTCCTGGGGCTGCTCTGTGTGGATGTGGTACTAGTGAGAGACCAGAGGATCTGTATCAGGGCTGATGGCACACACTCCTCTGAGAAATGGTGCTCACGTGGGGTCCACTGGAGCCACTATGGAGCAGAATCCTGAGCCCAACTGCAGAAATCTGGTCAGGGCCATGGAACCCCTAGCCGATGTGAGAACAGCTCTGTCTCCATTACTGAGTGACAGGTATCACTTCGCTTAGAACAACATTTCTGAGTGGGACTCCTAAGGACCCAGCCCTTCTGAACTGATGTCTTCCCCATATGGCAATACGATTTGTGTGTGTGAGTGTGTGTGTTTGCATGCCTACTGTCCTTTGTCTTCACAAGACAGACACAAGACTCTAGACAGGGCCCATGACCTCAGGGCTAGGTCTGGGCAGCTCTGAACCACTACATCCCTTGCAGGACAACGTTCCAGGGTTGCCAAGTCCCTCCCCATCCTCTGAGCATGCTCAGCAGGAGCTCATGAAGGTGTTAGTAGGGACTAGGGACCAGAGGAACACAAGCAAGAGCCACTCTTGGGAGAACAAGAGAGAAAAGACCGTCTCATCCACGAAGGCAGCTGAGAGCTGTTCTTCCGCCTTGAGGGGTCACCCCGTTAGTGCCATCCTCCCCTGGCAGTGACTCAAGTCAGGTGCCCGCAGGCCATGTGCAGGGGAGGGGCCGTTGTTAAAAACAGAGCACAGGAAGGAGTCTGGAGGGGGAGACCGGAGCAGCAGAGACGGCATCCCCTGGGTTAGTGCCCGCTGGCATTTTGAGTCTTAGCAGAAGTCACGGAGCTGAGCTGGCGATTAGGAAGAAGGAAGCCCTGAGGCATGCAAGGCAGCCAGGCCTACAACCTACAGACAGAGAAAGAGCAGCGTCAGAACCGGAGCCTGAAGGAGCTGGGGCACAGAGCCTGACCAGAGCAGCTGCCCAGGGACCCGCTGCCTGCAGAGAATAGGATCCCCAACTTCACCCCTCAGAGTGGCAGCAGGGTAAGTTTGACAGGGGATGTGGGCACAAGGAAGCTTTTCCACGTCCCCACAGGGCCGTTCCAGGTACCCCTCAGCTCCTTAAGCCCACAGCTCCTTGTGATGGTCAAATTGGCTTCCTAGAGATTATTACTTCTGCTCACTTGACCCTTTCCCTCCCCTCTTATAATTACTACTACTACTACTATTACTATTATTAATATTACTAATACTTATATTGCTGGGCCCAGACCCCAGCCTCATCTCTGCTAAGCAAGAGCTCTAACACCGAGTCTCACCCCCAGCAATTCGCTGATACTTTGTTTGTTGAGACAGGGTCTCTCCTGGCTCTCACTATGTAGACCAGGCTGGCCTTGAACTCACAGAGGCCCACCTGCCTCTGCCTCTGAAATTGGGATTAAAGGTGTATGCGTCACCATGCCCAGCTGCCACTGGTGCTTTCATTTCTGAGATTTCACAATGTATCCCAGGCTGGACCCAAACTTAAAATCCCCCTGCCTCGTCCTCCCGGATGCTGGGATAACAGGCATATGCTACCACAACTAGCTCACTGGATTCTCTTCCTCGGAGCTTCACCCAGAAGCGGGATTTGGGGGGCTTGGCTCACAGAGCTCATTCTCCCTCAGCCACATGCTCGCCCACGTGGTGTGGAGAGGGGCCCTGCCTGCCACATCCCTCTGTGAGAACCACGAGCCCAGGGGCCCCTGCTGGTGGCCATTTCAGCTGCAAGAGGTCACTGTGGGTTACGGGAGTGAAAGCATGGATGTGAGGAGCAGCTAGCATGCAGAGACGGAAGCGGAAGGATGGGTATGCGATGGGCCGGCCACACACAGGCAGGAGACGAGAGAAGTGAAGGAAACACACTATTCCTCCAGAACCGGACAGGAGCTCTTAAAGTCAGGGTGACCATAGCGTCCTTTCCCGTAGTAGCGGCTCCGCCAGCGGCTGGGGGTGCCCAAGACCATTTCACCAGCAGTTGAAGAGAGCCGTCCGATCCGGTCCAGGCAGGCGGCCCGGTGGGTGATGGCAGCCAGCAGGCAGGTGGAGGAGTCGGGGTGGTGGGGCGGGAAAGATGACACAAGACAGATGACAGGCCAGGCCAGTGCATCCGCCACCCCCCGAAAATGAAAAGCGACAGAGCCAAGGGGGAAGAAAAGAGAAAGTGAGAGTTAGCGGCCCCCGTGTCTGGAGAAGCAGAGACCGGGAGCATACGCGTGGGAGCCGGCCGCTGTGGGCTCCCGCGAGTGGACTCAGTTTCCCATCTGTGAGATGAGAGGGACGGGCTGACTGGTTTCCAGGACTAGGAGTCATCTTGGAATGCCAGTGCCTGCCTGGTGCATGCATGGTTTGGTAGAGGAGGAAGCCTGTATTCAGAGGGCCCGAGACCTCCAGCAGCTCAGGGGAAGGGCTTCTGTCGACCCCAGCGCTACCCAGCTGAGTGGCATGGCCCATGAAGGGACAGCACGATTTCAGTGCTCAACAGCTCAGGGACCAGGTCGGTACCAGCCTAAGCAATACCGATGCTGCTTGTTAGGGGCTGTTTGGGGACCCACATGGTCCTGACCTCTGACCCTTCTCTTCTCAGGCATAACTTTCTCACCCTGGTCTAGCCTGAGCTTGGTGTCAGTGATGATCTAATACAGTGACATGTAGATTCCCACAGGTGGAAACTGGAGGCGTCTGCCTCTAGCACCAACCGGGTAGGTGAGACTCCTTTGTCAACCTCTCTGCTCTGTGGAAGCCCCAGATCGCAGTCTGATGCAGGTCCAGCAGAGGGCGCCCTTAAACCCTCCAGCCGGAGGCTCTCCGGGATCTGATGGCATGTCTAATGGCACGCCTAGCTCCCGGAGGGAGTACTTACTCAGCCGACTTCCAAAAGTGCCCGGGATGGGAGAGCCGCCGGTTCAGCTTGGGCAGCTTCTCCAGCATCTCCATCAACAGGCTGAAGCTGGGTCTCTCCTGCAGGTCGAAAGCCCAGCAGGCAGACAGTATCTCCTGCCAAGAGCACCGTGGTCAGTGGAGCATGGGCAACTGGGAGGGAGGGAGGGAGGGAGGCGCACGGATGGGACACTTCCTAAGGGCCCCTGTGAAGTCCCCAAGGGCCCTGCACAACTGTGGATGCAGAACCCTGGGAAGTAAGTGTTTTAGATGAGCCACCGACCCTCCAGGTCAAAAGGAACCTGCCTGTTCTCCTTCCTCCTCAACTTGTCCCTTCCCAAAGGGACCAAGTCAAGCAGAACAGAAGCAGGAGAGAGGGGACAATGAAGGCAGGTGGCCTCTGCCAGATGGGAAGTGTCCAGAGGTGAACGCGATGATGGTCTGGGAATGTATACAGGGAGGGGCTGCCACAAGGGGGCGTCTCAGTGCTACCAGAGCAGAGACGGGCGGGACAAGAACCAATACAGGAGCAGCAGCCCAGAAGGAAGGCCTTCTCTCAGGGTCCACGCAGTCCCACAGCACCTTCTACAGCCCTGACACCCAGGAGGGTGGCCTGCCCACGTGGTCATTACAAGACACCATCCACCCCCGGCTAGGCAACACAGGCTTTGGTTCTTAACTACAATGACGCCGGTGCCTTAGGAAAGACAAGAGACCCTCCCTGGGGTCCTTCCTGGGTGGGTGAGTGGAGGGCAGTCATGTCACAGGCCCAGCCCACCCTTGGGCCCTGCTTCCCTCTACTCACGCCGACTTCCTTCCCCAGGCTGACGGACGCCAGGACACGCCTCACTCCTTCCCCGCTTCCGATCTGCCAGATCAAGGCCTCTGCAGGCTGGTGTTTAAAGGGCCAGTCTCTTGCCTGCAGCTCATACCACACAGTCCTATGGAGACACACACCACAGTGTGAGCCAATGGAGCTGTACAGAACCCTTCAGGAGGTTCTAGGGGTTGCCCGCGTTAGGAGCCAGAGGTCAAAGACATGGTCACTCCGCCATCAAGGAGCACTTCCTAACCCGGCGGCCACCACCGTACCTGAGTGCCGGTGGCCCACTCACCCGAACGCATAGACGTCAGCAGCTTTGGAGAAGGGCAGCTGGTCCTCATCCCTCCCGGGTGTCATTTCTCGAACAATCTCGGGGGCCAGATAGCACAGCCAGTCATGGGACAGCTTCAGTTGGTTCTCACGCCTGGGGGCCAGGACAAGGACACGGGCCCCTCAGTGGGGAGCAGGTGGCCCGACTGTACACCTCTGTGCCCACTCACATGTGGTAGAGAAAGCCCAGAGAAGAACATGGAGTTCTCCCTTACCCTTGAACGGGCTGAGCACTTCTAGAAAGGGGAGAGCACAGTTGGGAACAGCAGGGAGCTGCTGGTGACAGGGTTTGGTTCCCTGTACTGAGTGGCTGGGCTGTCGAGGACCCCCGGCCTGTTGGCAGATGCCAAACCTGCACGCGGATGCTCTGGCCTGTCAATCTTCCTTGAGACACCACCCCACTCTTATGGAGGAGCTTTTCTTGCCACCCAAGCCCTCTATAGTCACAGGAAGTAAAATGTTCTTTCTCGTCAAGGGGATATAAGCCGGGCCCCTCGCCCATCCCTGGGTAGCCAAGCTGAATGTGCCGGGGGACTCAGCCTCCATGGGTGCCCCCACCTGGGAATCAAGTACCACGAGGGACCTAAACATGGACTGAAACCGCATGGGCAGCACCAGGAACCGAGGCAACCTGGCCTGTGCAGGGAAGGCTCTTGCCAACAATGCAGCCAGGGGCATTGCACACCCATGCAGTGCTGCGGCTCCCGCTGACCCATGCAGACACCCACAGCCAACTCACCGTTCCTCCCGGACCACGCCCGAGATCCCGAACAGCCCGAAGTCTGTGATGACCACTTTGCCATTGTCATAAAAGACATTCTTGGACTTGAGGTCTTTGTGCACAATGCCCTTGGCATGAAGATAGCCCATCCCCTGCAAGACAGCCAACCTTGTGTCAGAGGGTGGGGGTGGGGTGCTAAGAGATGGAGGCTGAGCTGTATTCAGGGCAAGACACATTACCCCCACTCCCATCCTATCTTCATACAGACAGCAGGCAGGATACTGTCCTCACCTTACAGATGACGCAACTGAGGCTCAGAGAGGGCAAGTGACTTGCCCCAAGCCACACAGCAGTTAAACATGGAGCCCAGATCTGACCTCATTGAGTTCATGCTCTTTCTATGCCACTCTGCTGCCAAATAGCCACCTCAGACTTGGGTAAGGTGTGAGGCATGGACGTGGTGACGGACAGTGAGCAGAGGTCAAGGAGTGTAAAGATCGGTGATACGGGCAGTCAAGTGTGTGCTTAGCATGCTCACAGTCCCGTGTTCAGGACTTAGCGTTACCAATTTTAAATAATCAGGGCTGGGGGTAATGGCTCAGTGGTTAGGAGCGCGTCCTTCTCTTGCAGAGGACCAGAGTTCGGTTCCCAGCACCCTCAGAGGTGGCTCACAGCCATCTGTAACTCTAGTTCCAAGGAATCCAGTGCCCATTTCTGGTCTCTGTGGGCAACAGGCACATACAGCAGTCACACACACACACACACACACACACACAGAGAGAGAGAGAGAGAGAATCTTAGAAACAGATTTGATCACTATACTATCCAGACTCAGGCAAAGGGCAGGCTCTCAGGAGTTCACTAGCTGGCCTCTGCTCTTAGGCAGGGTGACACTCAGGGCAGGTAAAAGACATTCCTAGGATGCTACCTCGCCATGGTAGCAGGGGCCCCAGATGAAGCCTGAAGTCTGAGTTCCATACTCTATCTGTGCTCGGTTAGCACTGTGTGGGCTTGGGCACAGTGCTGGCCTCTCTGAGACTCTGCCTCTTCATCCATCAGGTGAAATGTGGTGGGTGATGCCCACCAGTGATTGCTCTGGCCTGACCATTCAAGGATCAGGGGCACAGAGCCCATGGCCCAGGTGCTGGAGTGACAGGTTCCACTGTGGGAACCGAAGGACGAGTAGCTGTCCCTCTCCAAGTTACTCCCACCACAGGCCCTGCATGGGGGTGAGGGGGTTGGTTACACTTGTAATCCCAGCACTTGAGAGGTGGAGGCAGGGGTTTAAAGTCATCCTCAGCTACACAGTGAATTTGAGGGTAGCCTAGGCTACATGAGTCCCTGTAACAAAACAAAACAAAGCCACCCAGACACACAAAACCCAGGTGTGGCGGCTGAAAAGGGTTCGGTTAAAGAGACAGGCTCTAGAGCTGAGCCTGGGACATTCCTTCCCCAGGATTGCCCGGGGTCTCCACGGCAACCCGAGGTCAGGTCCCTCTGCTCAGCTTCAGACCTCAGCGCATCTCAGATCCCTCCAAAAAGGAAGTGGGCGGGGTGGGTGGGGGGCGGGGTGGAGCTGAGCAGGAAGAACGTAGAAGGAGCGAGGGGTGACAAGAGGCATCTCCAGAACCTTGAGTCACTTTCCTCCTGGGCCCTGGAAGTGACCAGCCTGGTGGCCTTGACTCTTGTGACTCATGTGCATTGGTGCTCCCAGTTCTGAGGGAGGGGGAGGAGGGAGGGGGTGGAGCAGAGTCCTTGGTGAAAGATCACACCTGAGGCAGAAGTGACACCTTAGGTTTCTGGCCTGAAGTTTAATTTCTAAACATGGCCATGGGAAAGAAAGGGGCAGACTGAAATCCTGGTTTGTCCCCAAATGCCATTGTGATTTTTACCTTTTCCTTTCTAAAGACGTCCACATACACAAAATGGCCAGAGAGAAGAGGGGAAGGAGAAGGGGGGGAGGGGAAGGGGTCTGAAGGGAAGGCCAGCTGATGCACAGCTACAAGGGGCAGCTCTTCTTTTCTGAGACAGGGTTTCATGTAGCTCAGGCTAGCCTTGAATCTGCTTGGTAGCCAAGGACGACCTTGAACTTCTGATCCTCCTGTCTCCATCTCCCAAGGCCTGGGATTACAGGTGTGTGCCAGTGTGCCCTGCTTATGGTGCTGGGGACTGAACACGTGGCTTTGTGCACACTAGTCAAACACTCGACCGACTGAGCCACATCCCCATCCTGAGAGGCTGCAGCTTTTCAACACAGCTTTGAGGTTGTTTTTGTTTTAAAGAGAGGAAGTCTTTGTTTTTTGAGGCAGGGTTTCTCTGTGTAGCTTTGGAGCCTGTCCTGGAACTCACTCTGTAGCCCAGGCTGGCCTCGAACTCAGAGATTCCCCTGCCTCTGCCTCCCGAGTGCTGGGATTAAAGGCGTGCGCCACCACCGCCGGCAATTGAGGAAGTCTTATTCAGTATTCTAGGTTTTCTGTTTTATAGATAACAGTCTCCCTTCCCTATGTGGTCCAGGCTGATTTTAAACTCTCAATCCTCCTGCCTCAGCCTTCCTAGCTCTGGGATTTATATTCATGGTACTTGGCTTTTTTAAAATTAGATTTATTCATTTTATGTGTGCTTTGCCTGAATGCACATATGTGCATCTTGTGTGTGCTTGGTGCACACGGAGGTCAGAAGAGGGTGTCAGGTCCCCCAGAACTGGAGTTATGGATGGTTACGAACCACCATGTGGGGGCTGGGAATCAACCCAGGTCCTCTGCAAGAACAGCAAGTGTTCCTAACCACTGAGCCACCTCTCCAGCCCTCTTAAGAGTCTGGATAAGCAATGAGTGAGAAGCTCTCTTTAATTAGTTTTTAAATGAGTAGGGAACGGAAAAGAGCTGCCAGCTGGGCGGTGGTGGCGCACGCCTTTAATCCCAGCACACGGGAGGCAGAGGCAGGCGATCTCTGTGAGTTCGAGGCCAGCCTGGTCTCCAAAGCAAGTTCCAGGAAAGGCGCAAAACTACACAGAGAAACCCTGTCTCGGAAAACCATAAAAAAAAAAAGGAAAAGAGCTGCCTACGCTGGACAAAAGGACCTGCTCCCTGGAAGCCGAGATTTGGATAACTGCAAATAATTTGCAAAAAGTGTGGGGCTCTTTAAAATTTTTTAAATCTATTTATATATTTTTAATGATTTATTTTTATTTTATGTGCATTGGTGTTTTGCCTGCATGTGTATCTGTGTGAGGGTGTCAGATCCCCTGGAACTGGAGTTATAGACAGTTGTGAGCTGCCATGTGGGTGCTGGGAACTGAACCTGGGTCCTCTGGAAGAGCAGCCAGTGCTCTTAACTGCTGCATCATCTCTCCAGTCCAAGTTTGATGCCCTGAAGTGAAACACTCTGTTCCCCACCGGTGATGCTAAGAAACCCTCACCACGTACTAGCTCCATGCCAAATGGTCCCTGTATGGATGACTTCCTTCTGTTTCCGCTCTGACCGAATCAAGGAGGCTGTGCTGGATCTATAGGGGAGGAAGCTGAGCCTCAGAGAGGCTAAACAAGCTCCCTGAGGTCACACAGCTAGAGTGACACTGTCTTTAGAATACGCAGAGTTTCTTCAGAGCTAATTCAGTTCTATTAACACCAACTGAGTGGCGAGCTCTGGGTTTGATTGGGTAAGACAGGGGACCAGGCTGAGGTGCCCCAGCTAGGAGGCAGAGGAGCCACAAAGCACCTGGTACAGGCAGATATGGCCTGGGGAAGGACCAAGAGCTCTAGAGGCAGCTGGGCCCCCCGCCCCCACCCCCACCCCACCTTTACCTTGATGATCTCCTGGGCGATCTGCCTCGTCTTGTTGATGTCCAGAGACGTCTTGGGGTCCCTCACGAATGAGTGCAATGTCCGCCCCTTGCAGAAACTGTTGAAGGTAGTGGGGGTTGGAAAGAGATCTAGAGCTGCTACAGGCTGATCCCACCCCCATGGACCCTGTCAGGGGGACTGGGCCCACTTCTTCCTGGAAGGTTCTCCATCCCAACCAACACAAATCATGAACCCATGTGTTCTTTAACCAAGACTCCAGCTGGAGCCCGACTAGACAACGCTTACATATACATGCACACATGCCATCCCTGGAGGTGCATGGCCTGCCAGCTCTCCCTGCACAAGGAATCAGCGCAACCACACTCACAGCCATTCAGGGCAGCCCATCTTCACAGGGTCAAGGAGGGACAGGGGCCGAGCGGCAGAACTCAGACGGGGAAGAACTCAGCCTCCAGGACTCACACCAGGCTCCACGGAGCCTCTGGGCTCACCACAAAGATGATCATTACATGCAGACCCCAGGGCATCACATCCTGCTGCTGAGTTTTATGCTGTTCCTCTCTGTGTGGCCCCCTCCACTAAGTCTAAGCTCCTCAGGAATGGGAGGCTTGCGTGAGAGGAGGGTGGATGGGTGGCGGAGGAGGCTGCAGAGCTGGGACACCCACAAGTGGACTCCCTGGGGACTGGCTGTCCTGCTTTGAGCTGGAATTTTATAGACTGGGTCAGGGACTCTAGTGATCTGACACTGTTCAGGAGTTCTTTATCTCTGAGAAAAATGGCAAATTTTACTCATTCACTGTGTTAAGGAAAACACCAGTTGTTTGTATGGGGTGGGTCACTTGCTTCCCCCCAAAGCACAGGGTCCAGGTCCAGGACACCCCATGTTCTCTTGGCTCCATAGAGTGGAAGTCATGAATACCTGAGTTTGGTTCCAGTACCCACTTAAAAAGCAAAGTGTGAAACTGGGCCTGATGGGGTACGCCTTTATTCTCAGCACCCAGGAGGCAGGAGCAGGTGAATCTGAGTTCGAGGCCAGCCTGGCCTACATAGCGAGTTCCAGGACAGCCAAGGCTCTACCAAGGGACCATATCTGTGCGTGTTTGGCAACACACACACATCTGTAAACCCAGAACCTCATGCTCACACGGGTGTTCTCACCTGCTGAGCCTTCTCCCCGGCCCTTTTGATTTTAAAGTCAACTGTTTCTTGACTTTTTTTTTCAGGCAACTGTTTCTGTATCTAGGCCTGCTGCTCGGGAGGGTGGGGAGAGGACACTGTTTTCCACGGAGAATGACAAGTGAATCCCAGAATGCTTGCTGAAGTACAAACAGGCGATACACCATCAAGATACCAAAATGTGAGGACTGGGGTACAGCTCAGCACAGCACTCACCGAATGCACAAGGCACTGGGCTCACCCCACGGTCGCACATGCACCCCGAAGTAGACCTCAGGCCTACAGTAAACCAACAGAAGTAAAGTGCGAACCAACACAATCTTAGTCGCGTGTTTTTAGTTAAATTATCTATTTTTGCACGTGTACGTGTGTGCATGTGTGCATGTGTGCACACATCACGGGGTGCCTGCGGAGGTCAGAGGACAACTTGTGGGAGTCTATTCTCTCTCATTATCGGCTCCGGGAGTCAAAATCGGGTTGTTAGGTTTGCGCAACAAGTGCCTTCCCCGCTGAGCCATCTCGCTGGCCCCCAATCCGCTTCATTTTAATGAGAGGAATATTGAGGTTAACCACACTCACTTCTGTGGGGGAAAGTATCCAAGCAAAGTGGTATAAGCCAGTTTTGTGTCTTTTATAAAACACTGGGATTCTCTTTATGCTCAGAGGGGTCTCTTTATTTATGTCTTTTGAGGAGAGACAAGGGCTTGCTATGAAGCCCTGGCTACCATAAACTCAAGATCCCCCTGCCTCAGCCTCCAAGGGCTAGCACTACAGGTGTATGCTGCCGCGCCCAGCTCTGAAGTTTAAACATCGGTGGGCAGTGTGGATGGGGACATGATTCCTTATCTTTGGTTTCCTTCTTCATCTCTCTGATCACCCTTCTGCATCCAGGGCAGCCACAGAGGCAGCAGGCTGCGGGGACAGGGAAGCTGTGGCGCTCAGGGGCCCAGGGGGCGTGGCTCACCTGGTGATAATGGCCAGGTGGGGTGGGTTCATGCAGGCCCCCATGAAGAGCACCACGTTCTCGTGCCTGGTCTGCCTGTAGTTCATCACCTCCTTCTTGAACAGCTTCAGGTGGTCCTGATTGTGGCCGTCCATCTCCAGCAGCCGAATGGCCACTTCGCCATGCCATCGGCCTCGATGCACCCGGCCCCAGCGGCCCTGCCCAATGGGCTCGCCTAGTTCCACCTGTTCAAAGGGGATGTCCCACTCCTGTAGGTACACGCTAGTCTGGCTGGCTTTTCGAGAGATGGGGCCCCGCCAAGGCCGGCGGGAGCTGGGGAGGTCGTCCACCTCATCCTCATCGTCTTCTGCCTCGGACTTGCCCGCCTCAGGCTCCTCAGCCTGAGGAGAATTGAACAGAGAGAGGGGAGTGAGTCTGGGTCTTTCTTCTCTTCCTGGAGTGCTGGCCAGGCACCACCAAGCCTGGCACCCTGGCCTCCTTCTGATAGTCTCCTGTCTGAACACACACCTTCTGATTCCTATGCCCCACCCCCCCCAGCAGCAATAACATTTTAAGCCATGCTGCTCTGCAGAGACTCGGGCTTAGTTCATACTTCTGTTTGAAGGTCAAGATGGCGGCTTCTTTCTGGGTGTCATGTAGCCCAGGCTAGCTTCCAACCTGCTATGTAGCTGAGGAGGACTTTGAACTTCTGATCCTCCTACCTCCATCACCTCAAGGGCTGGGATTACAGGCGTGCACTACCATGCCTGTTTAAGATGAAGATGGCGGTCCTTGACACTGATCAGAATGGCCAGTCACGCTCTGAGAACATAGAGATGCCTGCCCCCATCCCAGGCCGACTGACTCAGCACCCAGGCCAGGGCCTGGGCCTGTGGGTTGGGAGTCAGGCCAGGAAAATAAAGAGGTCCTTCCAGCTGGCACTTCCCACTGTTCTTTCCTGCTGTGCACATCTGTCCACACCTGCTGCACCAGGCTCCGCACCCTCATCCCCCTGGGCCCCCGCCGATCCTGTGCACCCCAAGAAGAGAGGAGAGAGAGACTTTAGGTCTCATGCATGCGACTCCCACTCACCTCTGCTTCTTGAACACCCAGCACGTCTGCTTTGGGCTGGTCCTCGGGCCTGAAAGTGAACCGGGCTTTGTTAATAAGGAGATGCTGGGCTGGGCCAGGATGGCCCTGTGGACACAGGAAGGAGGCTGACTAGAGGGGGTGAGGATGAGGGGGTGGGCAGCTACCTATCACCCTGGCCCTTGTAGCACAGGGGGGCAGGGCCCCACGCTCCTGTCTTTGAGGCCTGGCTATCACCTCCTTGCGGTGTGAACTTATGTAATTTAATTCCTCTAAGTGGTTCCACTTAGAGACCTACTTCACTGGCTGAGAACTGAGGGACCAGGAGCCAAGTGCTCAAGGCAACCTAATGGAGGGGGGATCCGGAGACAGGGGTTATGTTTGGCAGGTCTCTCTCTGTTCACCTATACTTCCTCCTGGGCCCCAAGCCTGCTGCTGCTGTATACACAGCCCCATACAGTGTTCACTGGACCGACAGGAGGCAAATAACCCCCAGGCTCCGAGGATGAAACAGCCCCGTTCCCCATCGGGCTGGCCCAGAACCGGAGAGTCAGATACGTAGGGCTGGGTTGGGAGGTGGCTGCAGGGCGTTCATACCGTGTGCTGTCGGCCGTGCTGGAGAGCGGGGCTGCCTGAGGACAGGCAGAAATGTCTGTGGGAAAGAGAACAGGAGCAAAGTGTGAGTGTGCTGCCCGTCATCCCCAAAGACCAGCACCCGGGGGTCACCCCTTCTCTCCTGAGCGGCCACTGCTCCTCAGGCCACTTCCACCAGGGTCAGTTCATGCTTTGCAAGCGGACACAAACTCAGTCTCTACAGCCTTTGGTCTACACGGCTGTTCCCCCCCACCCCCCAGGCAGAGGCCCTGGGTGAGTGACTCTATAGAGAGACCCCAACAATTAACACCACTGCCGTGGGCCCAGATGATACCACAGGTAGCAACAGCTAACCCTGCTACTTCTGCAGAGGGTCCTTCTGGTAGGAAGCAGGGCTGGCTGTCATTTTTCAAAGTAGGGACAGCCTTCGCCTAGCCAGTGGCAGGGCTGGCAGCTAGGCAGCACCTGGTAACAGCTGTGACACCTGGCACCGGGTGTAGCTGCCACCCCCACCCCGCCCCCGCTCCCGCCTCTGGGATTGGGTGGCTGGTATCACAGCTCTGCGCAAGAAGAGGAAATCCAGTGTGTGCACCAGGAGCTCCGGGCTGGCAGCTGAGGCCGACCCCTGGACCCTGCAGCACAAAGACACAGCTCTAGGACACCAGGAGGAGACGCCCCCCTCCCCTGTGTGGAACCAAGTGAAAAGCAGCAGGGCAGTGATCAGGGCTCCCCTCTCTCAACAAAGAGAATCAGGAAACGGCAACAGCTCGCGCTATCAGCAGCCCCTTTCCTGCCTCGGACAAAGACCTCCCCTCAGCCTTCAGTTAATCGTCTTCACTGGAAGGTTTTCTCCACAGCGGAACCCGACTCTGACAGAAGCTGTGGGCCGTCTGATGGGGCAATGCCCACGTGTGCGCAACATCCTGGGCCGTGTTGGGGTCCATGGACCTCGGAAGCATCTGCTCCGGCCCTCTCCGGACACCTCCATATCACCTTCAGACTGCCAGGCCCGCATTTTCACACATGTTCAGGCCACTCCAGAAGCTACACATGTCTTGGGTGAGGTGTGGGGGGGAGGGGCAGACGTCTGGGAAGCCTCCCACTTGTCCTCGAAGGAGTGCATTGTGCACTCTGTTTTCGTGTGTTCCTGTTTCAGTTAGCACATGGAGCCCCACCCCCAACTGTGGGCAAAACAGGCCACTCAGGAAGAAGTACTGTGGTTCTCCAGCTGAGGGGCACTAATGTACATGCACACCCTAGAGCTGGTAACCCGGAAGGCCCTTGGAATGGGGCACCACACAAAAGGGGCAGCCCTTCCCCGACACACCTAAGTGGAATTACAGGGATACTGGCTACCAAATGTTCCAACTCGATTCTTGAAGGGAGCTGATCTGGAGACTAGAAAAGCCTGGAATAACCAAAATACTGGGGCTTCCAGCCTTGGCAAGGTAGAGAAAAGACTATTAGAGTTGTCTGAAGCACACAGGCCCCTAGTGTTGGGTACTTCCAGCGGGAGGTGAAAAGCATCGATCTTATACAGCCTAAAGGGAAAGGAATGGGCAAATACAGAAGTGTGCAAAATAGTTTTTGGAGAGGAAATCCAAGGGTTGCCTTAACGGAATGGAAAGTTTTTCCTTCCAGCTTTCTGCAATGAGGTAGTTCCACTGACAACCAGCAGGTGGCACTGTGGGTTAAGGCTGGGAAAGGCAAAGCCAGCTGACAGAGGATGATGATGACTGTAAGACTTTCCCAATCTGGCTTGCCCTTGCCACTCATTTTCCACCAGGCACCAGCAAGCAGCCCCCTCCCTTCATTCTGCAAACCGGAGTCCTGGGTCCTCATCCTGTCACTTCTGGGTAGTAGTGCGACCTTGAACCAGTTCCCCCACAGTCTATGCCAGAGGCTGCACAGGACGGACTCCAGCCAGGGTCCCATCCAGCGAGGTACCGCCCACCTTCGGGTTCACACCACCGGCTGCGGTGAACTCAAGCCCACGGGGAGAAGGCACCAGGCGGGGGGGAGACAGAGGGTCACAGCGGGGGGCAGTTAGTGGACCCATGAGGAAGACTCACCTGGAAAGATAAACTGCTGTCTATGATGAATGAAGTGGGCAGCTTAAAACAGAAGAGGAGGTAAGTCACACAGTGCAGAGGCGGCGTGGGAGGGGGGTGCGTGGACGGGGGGGGGGCAGGTGCTGGTTACTGGCTTAGGTGGCTCTACCCTGGGGGGGGCTCTGGTGAGGAAAGGTGGAGCCATGCAGGAAGAAGGAACCGCACTAGAGAAGAGTTGGGGCGTGGTGAGCCCAGGAGCGGAGGGCGGCGCTACACGTGGGGGACGGACCATCTCAGTGGGCGCTCGGCTGCACAGCCCCGGCCAGTGAGCACTGGGACGACGTTGGGGCCGGTTTTGTTCCAGAAAATGCACATGAGTCAAGAAGTAAAGGTAGAGTAGGGAGAACAGCGGTTCTCTGAGGACGTCCAGCAGTGTGTGCAGAACAGCCTCCTCCCCCCCAGTCTACCCTGACCCAGGAGCACCCTGACCTCACTGCTTGAGCTCCAGATCCTCCCAAGGGCTGTGATTCCAGGAACCATCGCATGCCACCTGCTTGTTCCTGAGATGCTCGCTATCTTGCCCGGGCTGGTTTCAAACACACGGGCTCTATTCTCCTGCTGTGGCCTTGCACGTGGTTGGGACTCAGGGTGATCCTAACCTTGGCTCTCCTCCATGAGAAGGCTCTGGGACCTGGGGAGGCAGTTAGCCCCCCCAGTGCCTTCTGTCTGTAGGGGAGTACACAGGCTTGCCCAGGCTCTCCTGTGAAGGGCCACAGTGAGGCTGCTGGACGGCACAGGGCAGGACAGCACGGGTGGCATGAGGGGTTCCGGGTCCTTCCCTGGGGGCTCATCCCATCCCCCCCCAAGGATTGTTCATGAGTCCACTAAGATCACGGAGAGAGTAAGGCTTCTGTGCAGGGACAATGGGCCCATTTCCCTTATGGGTCATCAGTGTAAGTGGACAGGGTCTGATCAGGATCATAAAAAGGACTTTTTCTATGTCCCTTGTCTTTGCAAACCAGCCCTTCTTAGAAAAACCCAAAGTAGACGGTTTTAGCAAGAGACTTGTTCAGAGAGTCAAGGCAGATCAGACCTGGAAAGGAAGCTAATCCAGAGGCCACCGCTCAGCTGCAGGGTGGGCCAGGGTGGGGCAGGGTGGGGCGGTGTGCGGGACAGACATCATTGTTAAGGGCACTCCAGCCGCGTGCTTATTAAGGCAGGCACAAGGACAAGTGACAGAAGACTCCCATCCTCTGGTCCCTCACCACCCCTAAAAGAAGTCTCAAAGTCCCCGGTGGGTCCGGAGGCTGCTTGGCCAACTGCTGGCTGTGTATAGGGTCAGTGTGGGTCCCGCTAGCCAGGCGAGAGGTTGGGGGGCATGGTGGCACTCTGTCTTCCCGGGGTTACAATGCCAGGGGGACTGATCTGGACCCTGCGGGTTACAGCAAACAGGAGCATCTGAGCTGCAACTCCCCGCTAGGACTGCAAACTGGGTAGGCCACAGCTGACCGACAGCGGAGCTGCCCTTGCCAAGGGTGCCAAGGCAACAGCTCAGTGCCATGTGGGTGAATGGGCTTTGCTGTGCTCCCCGGAGACAGGGCAGCCCAGGGTGCCTGACCGGAACCGAGGGCCAGAGAGGATGCAGTCCTGGCCTCTTCCTGACATTTCAGGGCACCACACCCGAGGGCAGCTGGGCTCGGCTCTGCCCCTCCAGGGTTGGCCCAGGACTCACAGTCTTCACCTGTTCAGTGGAGACCACCTCATTCTAATTCCCCAAGGTCTCTGGGTGGCACGTAAAGGAACGTGAGGTCTTATCTGAGCAGCCAGCCCCAACCAAAGAACTGCGTATGTCACAGAAGCCCAGTGGCCTTTTGTAGGCTTATCTGCTTCCCATTGTGCCTGTCACAACTGAACTCAGAAGGCAGCCCTGGGAGAGGCTGATGCTGGGCAGAAGCCACCGCAAGCACAGGCAGGCAGCCTGGGGTTACCCCAAGAACCCAGGCCCCGGGCTAGACAGACGTGGGTTTGGCCCTCACTCCGCCACTGCACAGCGCAGGGCCAGCCACGCCCCCTTTCTGAAGCCCAGCGAACTCATCTGTAAGAAGGTCGCCACAGCATTAGTCCCATGCTCAACAAATGCTCCATGAACACAGCTCTCGGGGGAGACTGGGGAGGGTCGGAGGCCGTCCCTGAGGACCCAGAAGAGCCCAGAGGTGTGGTACCTGGGAAGCTGAATCTGCTGTCCCGCTGGCCAGGCGAGGGGTTGGGGGGCGTGGTGGCACTGGAGGGGTTGGATGAGGTCAGGAAGGGCGCTGGTGACGACGGTGTGGAGGACGTGGTGGAGGACGGGTTGCTGCTGGAGTCCAGGTTCATGGCTGGAGGGTGCTCCTGCAGGACCAGAGATGCCAGGATGGGGCAGGGCTGCAGGCTCAACTCAGCGGCTGCCAGCCTGTTGGGGACCTCCTTTTCTGCCCCCCTCCTCCCACCTCCATGGGCAGAGGTCAATCCAGGAGATCCTTGGGGCCCGCTCTGTAGCCCCAAGACTTTCTGGGACTAATATACGATAAAAAGACACTTAGAGGCCTCCCCCTAAAGGATTCCTGCCCATCTTTCTTACTGCAGTTCCTACTTCCCCCTAGAAGCCCATCTGAACCCTAGCTGGACTACGTATGCTCTTCCTCTTTACCCTTCCATAGCTCCCTGAATTCCTGCACCCAGGCACCTTAACATACACTTTGTCAGCTGCAGACAGCCACGGTTAGTTTGCTGGCGACCATCTCTCCCACCCCAGCACCCGCCTGGCTCTGAGCTGGGCACCTGCTTTCTTAATTAATTGAGTTCATACTCTGACCAACATTTCTGCAGCTTCTGCTACGTGCCTGGTCCTCTGCAGAGTCTATGGTTTTGTAATCTTGTCCTAAACGTACAAGGGCTCTCAGAGAACCCACAAAATTCCAGAAGAGGCAACAGCTTGGGCCAATGTTGTCTGCCATCTTGAAGGGTTAAGAATTCTGGGGCTGGGAGCTGGGAGCTGGGGATGTGGCTCAGTGTGATGCTTGCCTAGCACTCAAAGCCCTGGTTTTGGTCCCAGTACTGCAAAACCTGGGCATAGTGGAAGAGGCCTGTAATCCCAGGACTCAGGAGGCAGAAGCAGGAGGATCAGCAGTTCAAAGGCAGCCTTGGGTACAAAGTGAGTTAGAGACCAGCCCGGGATACATGAGACCTTGTCTCAAAAAGGGGGAGAAGATTCTAAGAGACTCCAGGAACAGACTGCTGGGGCAGGTCTGGTTCACCACAACACTGCGGTTCCAATACCTGTCCAGCCTCTTCTTGCAAAATGCAGGTGACATGCTCAAGCCTTGGACAGGCATGGTTTCTAGTCAGAATGAAATGGCTTCTGGATTTTAAAAGACATTTGAGTGTCGTTTGTATGTGCACATATGTGAACACACGTGTGGAGGCCGGAGGTTGAGATGCTGGACATCTTTCCCTTCACTTTCCCCCTTGTTTTCTGAGGCAGGGTCCCTCACTGATCTGGCCCGACTGGCCGGCAAGGATCTTCCCGTCTCTACTTGCTTGGTACTTAGGATCACAGGTGTACCGCTTTGCCCAGCTTTTTGTTTCTCCATTTTAAGACAGGGTCTCCCTATATAGTCCTGGCTGTCCTGGAACTCACTCTGTAAACCAGGCTGGCCATGAACTCACAGAGAGCCGCCCGCCTCTGCCTCCTGAGTGCTGGGATTAAAGGTGTGAGCTTTATGGCTCTCATGCCTGGCTTTGTATGTGGGTGCTGGGCATCAGAATCCAGGTCCTAGCAATCACTTTATGGACTGAGCTGTCTCCTCAGCTCCAGAGACATTTAGTTTATCAATTACCTTCTACCTATGGGAAATGATTTTCTTTTCTTTTCTTTTCTTCTTAAGATTTATTTATTTATTATGTATACAGTGTTGTGCCTGCACACCAGAAGAGGGCACCAGATCTCATTACAGATGGTTGTGAGCTACCATGTGGTTGCTGGGAATTGAACTCAGGACCTCTGGAAGAACAGCCAGTGCTTTTAGTCTCTGAGCCATCTCTCCTGCCCCTGGGGAAATGGTTTTCTAATTATGATGATGATGAATAAAAGTGGGGCTTTTCTAGTTGTGATGATGAGGACTACACACCAGATTCTGGTTAGTAAATATGACTCCGGGCTGTGCCTGTTAGGACAGAGTGGGGCAGATGGCTTGCAATTCAGGGCCTGGGCACCCATCAGTGGGTGCAGCCTGCAAAGGAGGCCATTGTGGCAGGGATCAGGGGAAGCCCAGGTTCTGATCTTTTGCCTGCAGCTTCATGCAATAGAACCAGGTATGATGCAGGCTGCCGGAGATTCCCACCAGGGTTCTACTACTTCTTAGCTGGGTGGCTCTGGGCAACTTCCTTGACCTCTCTGGGCTTCCATTGCCTTAGCCACACATTGTCACTTATGCCAGTGTTTGCTGTGTGGATCTGTAGCAGAACGGAAGCTGGGTATGCAGTACACAGTAGGTGTCTAATGTATGCTCAAATCTTTTGAAGACCCGCTATCTTGACCAAACAGTCCTTGGGATCATGCTTTTTGAGACTTAACCAGGCCAAAAGGTCAAAAAGCCAAGAGGGGTCCAGGAGCACTTTGGACTGGGTGGACTGCAGATCTAGTTCAACACCTTTATTTCCTAGGGCAGAAAGAAACTCCTCAGACAAAACAGGGTCAAACCTGTTAGTGCCACGTATAATAAGTTTTTCTCTTGCAAGACCTGAAGGCTGAGGGGTGTACTGCTGTGGGTATCTGTATGCTGTGAATGTGTTGCTCTGATTGGTTAATAAAGTGCTGATTGGCCAGTAGCCAGGCAGGAAATATAGGTGGGACAAAGAGAGAGGAGAATGCTGGGAAGAGGAAGGCTGAGTCAGGAGTCGCCAGCCAGAGACAGAGGAAGCATGATGTGAAAGTACCGGTAAGCCACAAGCCACGTGGCAACTTACAGATTAATAGAAATGGGTTAATTTAAGATGTAAGAACTGGATAGCAAGAAGCCTGAGCCATTAGGCCAAACAGTTTAAATAATATAAGTGTCTGTGTGTTTATTTGGGTCTGAGAGGCTGCGGGCCTGGGCAGGACTGGAGAGATCTCCAGCTACAGTGTACAGTATACTCCGAAGCTCACGGAGCTGAGGTTGGCCTTGCTTGCCAGGATGGCTGGCCCAATATGGCACCAACTAAATGGCACCCCCACCTTTTCGCTCCCACTCCAAGGCTGCAGACTCCCCCCACCCTCAGACCCCCTAAGCAGGAACTGGCTTGAGCAGGGGTAGTAGCCCGCGGGCCACAAGAGCAGGCTGAGCTTCGCTCTGCATCTGTGCAGCTCTGAAATCCGTCTGACCTGGGCTGCAGGGTCACCCACAGACGACAGGTCACAGCGGCTGCACCAGGGGCTGCTCACTCACTCAGTGACCCACGCAAATGCTTCCGACTGTCCGGGCATGTGCCAGGGGACAATGCGGATGTAAGGGATGTGTGGAGGGACAGCACTGCCTGGGTCTCTGGGGACATCTGTGACAAAGGGAATGGGGCAAGGGAGGGGGAGGAGCTAGAGAGGATGGGACAGATCTTACAACCCCCCCCCCCAGCAACAGCGCCCCCACCCCAGCCTGTGCAGGAAGCTCTGTTATTCCCGTTCCAAACAATCCGTGAGCGAAGCTCAGAGACACCTAGTCACTCACGTAGGGTCACAGAAGCACAAAGGGGAACAGTGGAGAGTGACAGCCAGGGCTGAGGACCCGAGTGTCTGCGTTCACCCAAAAGTCAGCATGTTGACACCCAGCCCCCCATGGTGCAAGTGTTAGTGGGTAGGGCCTGTGGAGCTGTTCAGATCATGAGGATGGGGTCTCCGTAAGCAGGGTCACTGCCCATATCAAAGAGGCTGGGGGAACTCGCTGGGCTCTTCTATTATGTGAGGACACAGTGAGGGACCACAAGGAGCAGGCTCTGGGAAGCCTGGGACTCAGTTTCTGCATCTGTAACATGGAGCATGTACATGCCCCTCAGAACTAGGTTTTTGGCACAAAGTAGATGCTCAGGAAATGCTGGCTCACAGATGTCAGAGGTTAGGGGGTCACGGAAATCACCACATACAATTCCATCATGGACAGAACCACACTTGCTATGTGGCTAAGCCAGGATCCCTGGAAGGCCCCAACCCTGTCTGTGCCACAGACCCTGGATTGCAGCGTGGTGTCCCTCTTCCCCAGTGAGGCTGATGAGGGGGTGCTTTGTGGAAGGGAATCCAGGGCTGGGGATGACAGTGCTCCCCGGGGCATATGCAGGCCACGGGGTGCTGACAACTTACCTTCTTCGTCAGGGCCTTGGGAAGGGTTCCAAAATGGGGCTCTGATGCTCTGTCCACCGGGTTGTTGATGTCTGAGGGGACAGACTCTGTCCTTCGAAGCCTGGCTACTGCTTGGAAAAAAGGGAATTGGTTAGCGGGAACAGACGCCACAAAGATGCACCTGAATCCCGGAGGTGGGAGAGGGGAAGTGCGGGGGGGGGGGGCACTCACGTGGGAGGAAGGATATTCTGCAGGCGGGGGCTTCCTTTGTGCACTTGTTGTGACATTTCAACCTGTAAGGAGGAAGAGTCAGTCCTCCACAGGGCATCCCAGAATTGCCCAGATGACCCTGACACAGCCTCAGTTTCCCCAAAGCTCTCAGCAAGTGTCAGCTCCAAGGTATGGGGGGTACCCTGTGTGCTGTAGACACTGTCTTCTGTGTCCCCACAAACCCCTCCCCTGCTTTTAAAGGGGAACCTCCTCCACATTAGGAAGCTTGGGAAAATCTGACCTAAAAGAAACATTCCAGAGAGGCCGCCGGTATCAGCAAGGGCCCTGGGTCCCCAAGGGTGTCCTCATCCAGGCACTGGCCAGTGTGATGAGCAGTTCCCAGCCAGGAATGGAAAGAGCTAGGTTCCCCTTTGGGTCTAGCCAGCCTGTCCCACAGATCTCGGTGTTCTCGCTAATGTAGTGGGCCGTGGGGCTGTTCTACTGTAAGTACAGGACAGTGTGTGGCTCAGGGGCTGCCATGTGCTGGCCACACTCGCATGGGAGCTGAGGATCTCATTTATTGCCAAATGACCAGTTTCCTCAGAGGTCAGGGAGTCATCAGGATACAATTCATCGGGCTGACTTGCATGAGAAGACCCTGCTGCCTTGGTCCTGATGATGGCCCCGGAGCTGTCACTCATGGCAGCTCAGATAATCTGAGTGGATCAGCTCCCCAGATGTCTAAATGGTAAACATAAAGCCCAGAAAGGGCAAGTGCCTTGCCCCATGTTACACAGCATCAGGGCAAGGGCAGCTAGGAACTGAGACTCCAGGCCGCCCTCTGGAAGGCGTATGGGCAACCAGACAGCACACGCCAGACTGTTGGTTCTCACTGTTCCTCCTACACTCATGTCCCTCCCACTGGAAACCATGCTACGACACAGCAAAGCTGGGTTGGTCTAAAGTCTCCACCTCTCCTCACTCTGCCCAGGTATAAGGCAACTTGGTGGTCACAGCTCAAACCTGTAGCCCGTCTCTCAACTTGAGAACTCCTTCTGGATCCCAGTAGAGTTCTCACTTTCTTCCTTGCCTTTAAATTCTTTTTTCCTCGCTCTATCTAGCAAACTTCTCTTCATTCTTCAAAACCCACTTCAAATGTTCCTTTCTTCCAAGAGTATCTCACTTCACCTCACTAAGGAGTCCTGAGCACCTGGTGTGCCCAGTGGCACAGTGAGCAAGCAGCTGCTTAGATGACGTCCTTCAGGTCTGACAGGAAGCCAAGAATGACGTACTGGGTCTGTCGTAAGGGACAAGCACCTGCTCCCCCCCACCCCCCGCCCCCCGGCTCATCACCTGCAGTGTTTGCATTTCACCCCGAACATCATGCTCTTCTGGCACACGTTGCAGACCTGTGACAGCCATGACTTTGTGGAGAACCTGCAGGGAGTAGAAATGTGTGGAGATCAGAGCCTGGCCTCTGGAGGGGTCCCGGGAAAAGGAGACTTGGCCTGACCCCAGAACCCCAGGCGTTCTGTACTTGGATTTCCCAGCTGCTGTCAATACCTTAAAGCTGGTGTGGCCAGTGGCACCAAGTGTGGCACCAGCAGTCCAAGCACCGGTGTGCATGCCCTCGGCCCCAGCAATTCCAGCCCTCGGTGTTTACTCAGCATATTAGTTAGTCTCTGGGATGAGATGTCACATGACATCCGGGCACAGCGCTGCTGCAGCCATACACCACAGTAAAGCTGGAAACAGCATGTCCACCAGCACGTGACCACAGTGCCACCCTCCATACAGAGGACCACATGCAGCTCTCTGCACACACAGGTGCAGCCGCCTCCAAATCCCACTACCAGATGACCACATTAAGTCGACTAGGACATGATGCCCTGGCTGTGAAGGTCAAGCATCGGAAAAGCCCATCTGTGGTGACAGACTGGGAGAGAAACGGCAGGTGGCAGCGTGAACAAGCAGGAAGAGCCCAAGATGGCCCTCAGGGTGCTGGAATGTTCTGTACCTTCCTCGGCACACACACGGGGCCACAGCTGTAAGCTCCTATGCATGTTTTGCTTGTGTAAATCACATGGATTTAAAGAGGGGAATAAAGCAGAGCATGAAGCTGTAATACGTGTAGTTTTGTGTGAGAAAGGAAACAGAACATGCACACTTTGCTGTGTAAATCACCCCCAGGTGGGTAAATGTGTAAAAGTCCTATCCGCAGGCACACCGAGAAGCCAGGGGCAAGCCTGCCAGGGGCTTTTCTCTCTACCCTTTGAAACCTCTTCGATTTTAAGCATATGTATTTTTCAGTCTAAAATCGACCTAACCAAAACCAAAACCAAACCAGAAGACAGACCGGAAGGAGAAGTGGGATTTCAGGAGAGTGGTGTCCCCCGGCACAAAAGCACAAGGCCAGCCCAGGGAAGCGCAGACAGCCTTTCGTTTTCGGAGGAAGGGACTTTTTGAAAACACGGTCCATCATAGCGACAGCAGACTAACTGGCGACAGTGTTTGTGGAGCAGTTTGCAACACACCCACACACATTAGCTCACTTGGGGATCACAACCACCCCACAGAGTTAGGCGGGGCCAGGAGTCTTGAAAACCAACTCAGAGAAGTGGGCAGGGGTCCATCCTCGCTGTGTGAGCCCCAGAGCCTCTTCCCTGCGTCAGCGGCTGAGGGGTTCTGCCGTGGACAAGACTCCAGGCAGAGGTCCCTGGGCACCAGGGCTCAGGCCCCGCCCCCGTGGCAGTGACCTCAGATGCACTGCTCAACCCTTGGGAGCTAGAACTCCCCCTTGGGTGAGAACTTGAGGCCAGCATCAGCACAGCTGGAAAATGGCCCACGGTTTCCATGGAAACCACAGGCCCTGGCAAGCTGCACTGCCCTTGAGCCCCTGACAGTGTCCCCTGCTGTGATCACAACAGACTTCAGCAGGGACAACCAGAGCATGGGCAACCCCAGGCACCGCCGGGCAATCCATCCAGAACTCTGTGGCCAGCACACTCCAGTCTTGTGAGCACTGAGGCCAGACCTCTGGATGGTCCTTGCTACAGGTCTCCAGCGGACCTCTTTTATATGTACAAACGTCAGTCTCTGGGATTGTTAAAATCCAGATTGTTGCTGGGTGAAGGTGACGCACGCCTTTAATCCCAGCAGCTGTGAGGCAGAGGCAGGAGGATCTCTGTGAGTCTAAGGCCAGCCTGGTCTACACAGCAAGTCCAGGCCAGTAAGGGCTACACAGTGAGTGAAATCTTGTCTTAAAAAAAGACAAAACAAAACAACAAAAAACTGATGACCAGGTGGAGAAGCATATGGCAGGATCTGGAAACATGGATTTTCAACACGCTCCACAGAGGACCCTGATGGTCTCAGGACCTGCATGACATGGAGGCCATGACTGTGGCCCTATTTCTTTGGAACCTGGAGAAGGTGGAGAGTGATTTCCCTCAGCAGGATGAGAACAAGACACAAGGAGGGGGTAGGTGAGGGACCAGAAGGACCAAAAGGTATCTGGTTCAATAAGTCAAGGGTTCAAGGTGGGTGAGTCTTGTACCACAAGACAAGCAGGTAGGCCAGAGGCAAAGGGCAACCAGCACAGACCCAGCAGCCGCCTGTGGAGCCCAGGTCAGCTCTGTCCTTCCCACAACTGAACCTACCTGTGTGTCACTGAGAGCCCGATATCCCTTCGTACCAGCTGTGGGGATCCATGAGGGAGGTCTGCGGGAAAGAACAGGCTGGGTAAACTGAGGAGGCTCTGAAGGGGGCTGGCGCATGCCTGAGACCTTCTAGCTCAGAGATCACAGGCTAGATGGGGCATGTTGCACAGCACAGCATTGCTTCACTGAACCAACATCCATCACAGAGGGAAGGGCCGGAGCCAGCTAGACAAGGACAATAGGTATCACCCTCAGCCTGGATTGCTCTCTAGCACACGTCTCTGCCCAGCTCTGCAGCTGACACACTTGTCTACCTATGATGGGTCTGCTTCGGTGGGAGGCAGGCTGGGGGCGCAGCAGGAGTGCAAGGGCAGGAGAAGCTCAGATGCATGCCAGCCTCTTGCCCCCTTTCAGGGGCATTCGCCTTTAGGGTTCAGTTTTGGCTAATTCTGGTTAAACAGAGGGCACAGGGCTGGTCAGGCATGCAACTCCACCTGCACCCTTCCAGCCAGCAGACTTTGGAGAGAGTCCTTGCTGATCTAGGCAGGAAGAACAAGAAGGTGCGCTTCTTCTGGGCCATCCCTGGCCCTCTTTCTCTGCCAAGGAGGACCATAGGCTTGGAGGGTCCCCTCTGCTTACCTTCTGTAGGCCCCTTGGGGGCTCCCTCTCCTGACATGGGTTCCTCTAAGGGCAGGCACCCCAGTGTTTATGGTAAGGCTGGCTTTGCAGTGGAACAGCTCTGGATACTGTCCATCACCCATATCCTAGCCTCTGAGCCCAAAGAAAAGATTTGGGGCCTCAGGACTCCTCAGAGCTGATCAGTAGACTATTGCAAGATTTTTCCTTGATACACAGGGAGGGTCTGGATTTTTATCCCATGTATCAAAGGTCTCTATAACCCAGAAAAATCAGGAGCACGGTGCTCAGGGGACTAATGTCCCTTGAGTCAACGCGCGCACACACACACACACACACACACACACACACACACACACACACACACACACACACACGGTAGCTACTGCCCCTCTCTCCTAATGTTCGTTCACACTGCTGGTGCTCCCAACACATTGACTCATCTACGGCCACAGACTCAGTGGCACAAGGCGGGACAGAGGTCCTCCCTTACACACCGAAGAATTGTGATCGTGACAAAAGGTCCTCTGCCACCCTCCTGATGACTGGGAAGCCACAACCCGATCACCTGCAGCTCTCTGGCACCACCCCCATGAGGCTGTTGCTCCTCAACTTCCTCCCAGGGCACCCCACTCCAGTCAGCAGCCAAGGCCATCAGAACACACCACTCTGAGAAGTGTGAGCTGCCAGCTACAGAGAAAGAGTAGGAAGCTGAGAGGCCAGTCATCAGGCTCCGAGCCTGACCTTTATTTGTCATGTTGGCCACAAGCATGCAACCACGTGTGCCAGCCAGCACTGATCTGGATCCAGATGGAATACTGGCTCTCACGGCTGTGGTCCCAACACCATCACAGCCACTGGAGGATGAGTGGTGATGGCTGGGGACATCCTAGGGTCAGAGGTTCGGGCTTTGGTAACGGCCCTAGAGAAATGCAGGTACCCTCCTCTCCTTACCGGTGCCTTCCTGGGACCCTGCAGCAGCTCCCCAAGGACTGCCACTACCAGCCAAGCCCTGCCTGCCCTCTCTCCCTGGGCCTTCCCGCAGCCACTGTTATCAGCTAGCTAGTAGAAAAACAAATCACTATGTCACTTAGAAACCCCCAGACATCGCTGCTTCCACACTCGGACCACCCAAAGCAGACTCAGGAGGTCCAGCTGACCCCTCTGACCCCTGTGCAGTTTGTGAGTATGTGTGAGATCCTGATCACAGCTGGAGATAGAGGGGAAGGGAGGGGGGCTCCGGGGTTGTCTGGGCTCCTTTTTCTCCTCCAGGAACTGACACCCTCAGATCTGTAGCTGCCTCTGGAAATGCCTGTCTCCCAGAGAGGGGAGCCCTGAGACATCAGCAGGGTAGTAGGTGGATGACATCTCCCACCCAGAGCACAGCTTTCTGAGGCAGCTCAGAAGAAAGGAGTCGTCTCAGGGGTCACTACAGAGAGGGCCAGGTGGAGACAGGCTTGGTACAGGGCTCGTGTGAACCGAGACACTTTCAAAGCCTCTATACTTCCCGGGGCTGGGCTAAGGCCAGCCTGTCATTTAAGGCCAGCTGTCTTAGAGCTATTTCACGAAGCGGTTGCCGGTTGCCAGCGCTTCTGCTTCTGGACTACGGAACAGCCAGCCAACGGGGCTGAGGTGGGGTCAGTGAAATCCACCCTAGACATGGACAGCGACTCGAACATGACTTCCAGTGGCAGGAGGGATGCAAATGAATTGTCCTTACCAAACCTGGAAGACAAAAAGGAGAGCAAGGGGGTGATGTCACCACATTGGCTCAGCCTGTGCCTGGAAAACTACCTGGGAATAGAGCGGGCCAAGGGCCGAGACAAGGGCCGGAGACCTGGCTCTGTGTGAGCCTTGCTAGCCACCCAGCATGGCATATTTACCCCTTGGAGGAAACAGGATCTTCCTCAGTCACGTGACCCATGGGGGTGGGTGCCCAAGGTCCAGAAAGAAGAGGGTGTGTTGGTATATTAGAGAGGAAGGGGACTGGGTAGGAGAACAGGGAGGCGGCCATGCAGAGCTGAAAGGTGGATTCCAGAAAAGGTCAAGTGGGGACATGCTCTGAGCAAGCCCGTCTTCTCCTCTGGAACTCCCCTCTCCCAAAGGAGGCAGGGGGCTGGGGGGGCGGGGGGGGGATGAGGACTTTCTGCTGCCCTTAGAGCTCACGGGGAGCCTCTGCCAGGGCTGAGTCAGGTGGCAGGGTTTGAGGGGAGCGGACTCAGAACCCGTTCCCTACTTGGAACACGGGACAAAGCCTACTGCTCTTCTCAGGAGAGAATGAGAAACAAGGCCATTAGCTTCAGGCCACCTTGAGGTCCTCTCCAAAGGACCTATTGGCTTATGGCAATTCTCCCATACTCTCTCCAGCGGCACCTGGAGGAGCCCGGGCTTGGTGGCACAGCTGGATAAGAAGGGTAGCACAGGGGTTTTCTGGGTCTCTGCTCCACGGTCAACAATGCAAAGCCACCTAAGTCACCCAGTGTCTGACACGTCACAGGCCCAAGGCAGGCTGCACATGAACAGAAAAGCAAGAGGGACGCCAAGGCCCTGGAACCCTCTAGAAAAGGAGTGCATGTGACGGAAAAGAGCCAGGTGCCTGACCCCCTCAGGGAAGAAGAAAAAGAACCGTAAGAAAACAGTGAAACCCACAACATCTAACCCCCGCCCCTGGAAGGGACACGGCAGCATGACGCCATGAGCGGCGTTTAAGTCAGGCTGCTCTCACTATCATGGATATCAAGAGCCCTCCCATCTGGCTTGGCTTCAGGTGGGGGTGAGGAGACAGGCCCTCTTTTTATGGAGCACCTCTACAGAGACCTACACGAGCCACCGTACGCCTGCCTTTGGACCACGTGTAAACGCCATTTAAATAGTTGTTATACTGAACTGTCAAGATGTAAGATAAGAGAAAAACTGTACCTACATAACAGTCTTTGCCCCAAATGTTTTCTTTGTGTGTGCTGGAGATGGGAAGTGTTCTATCACAAAACCATATCCCCAGCTCTTGCCCAATATTTTTAGTCCCTCAATGGTGGGTCCTCAGAAGCATCCCATGAACACAGAGAAGGAACCCATTTAACTGCCAGGGCACAACATCTGGAATTCCGTTTGGTCTGTCAATGACCAGTCATGTTCCGGACAGGAGCTGCTCTGCTAGCCGATGAGAATCAAGTCTTCGGGTTTTAAGCCTTGGAGATACAGGGCCTGTTTGTTACTGTGGCCGAGTCTAGCCTATCCTGACTGATACATGGCATCATTTTATATATTTATGTATGTACAGAAAGAGATCTGTTGGGATTCAGTCCAACTGCATCAGAATGATGGACACCTATTTTTTCCTCCACACTTCTATCAGTGGGTTGACTTTATCAGTCCTTTGTATGTGCCTAAGAGGAAGTCACAGGCCAAACCTACCTCATTGGGGAGACTTCATCGATTCGGTTTCCCAGCTGGGACTCGTGGGACTTGCTGCGTGTGAGTGTGGGGAAGTTGGGCAGCAGCTGAAAGACCTTGCGGCTTGGCGGTGGGGGTGTCCTTGGCGGCTTCAGCTTGGCGTGCCGTCGTAGCTGGGGTGTGGTAGGGGGTGTGATGAAGCTGTGCAGGGCCCGGGGGGTCAGCCGGCCACTGGCGTGCAAGGGAATACAGGTGTCCGAGAGGCCCTCACTGAGGCCAGGGCCTGGAGAGTCCGAGGCAGGCAGGGCTGACACGGAGACGGAGCGAGGACCCTGAGTGCCGGCACCCGCTCTGCCCAGCGGGGAGAGCATGTCCACTGAAGGCCCCGAGCTGCTTTCCCGCTGCGCCTCTGCCGAACTCCAACCAGAGTCCTCTTTGTGCTCCCCTCCTGTGGGCCAAGGGGTCAGTCAGAAACAGAAGGGACACAGGGTGTCGCTATTACCCGAAAGCATGGCCCTCTGGCTGAGGTGAGACTGTTCCTTGGCGGCGGCAGGCTCTGCCCCCAGCGTCACCTGGCTCGTCAGGGGCTCTCGTGCACCCAGCAGTGCCTTCCACGGTACTCGGCCGACCAGGGGGAAATGCCGGGGCACCCACCCCGAAGTGGGACATCAGGAAAGGAAGAGGTGACAGGTCCTGTAGAAGGCTGAGGTGTGTGAGGCAGGGCGAATTCTGCTTCAGGACATTAGCTGGGGTGGGGTGGGAGGTGGCACACACCTGTGATCCCAGGGAGGTAAAGGTGGAGGGATCGGAAGTTCAGGGGCATCCTTGACTACATGGTGAGTTCAAGACCAGTCTAGGCTACAAGAGAGACCCTGTTTCAAAAACCAAAAAGGAAAAAAGAAAAACAACAACAACAAAAGCCTTCAAACATCTGCCGGGTGTGGCAGTACATGCCTGTCAGAGACCATGCTTATAGAGTAAGACCCTGTCTCAAAAACAAAGCAGAACCAATATAAAACAAAAACCAGGAAACCAGCCAGGCTTGGTGGCACACATCTGCACCCCAGCACTCGGGGAGCTGGCACAGGAGGATGGTGAGCTCACAGCCAACCCAGACTACACAGGAAGAAAAGACTGGAAGGGGAAATAACGGCAGCATTTCCCACCCTCCACAGCCTAACACTGAAAAGCACACCTGACCTTTAGTGACCCTTAGAGTTCATTTCGCCTTTACAACAATCCTGTCAGAGGGGCAGCTATTCCCTTATTGTGCAGATGAGGAACTGAGGCACAGGGCGGCTGAACTCTCACTAGGTCCTGCTGGGATGCAAGCAAGATGCTCTGACCGCTTTCGACCCTGGTGACCAGTGAAGAAGTCATGTGGGACAATGGGAAGCCCGAGACCTGTCATAGGACCTGTCACAGGAATGCAGGAGCTTCCCAGCTGGGAGTGGACCACAAAGGAAGTGTGAATGTTTCCTGGCACAGTGGACCCCAGGCGTATCCAGTACCACACACACTCAGGTGCTGTGAGTGAGGAGCTTAAGCCTGGTCCTTTTGGGGATAAAATAAATTAGCTGGGCACGGTGGTGTACTTGAGAGGCAGAAAGGTGGATCTCTGTGAGTTTGAGGACAGCCTGGTCTACACAGGGAGCTCTAGGCCAGCCAGCATTACACAGTGAGACCCTGCTGGAGAGGAAGCAGGCAGCTCAGGTCTTGTCAACCTTTTCATCGAGGCCTGCTTCCATCCTTAGGCTCACTTCAGTGCCTTCTCTGGGCGGTGGTGGGAACGTCAAGTCAAGAGTTGGAAACTGTTTCCAAGGGAAGACACAAAAACGCCTATGGACAATCCCTGAGGAGATTGTGGTAATGGCAGGATTATACGAGGTCTGGGGCAGCCCTGGGCACACTTCCGGATAAGTCTACACGGATACCAAAGGGGCCTTGTGAGCAGAGAGCCGAGCAGCCCATGAGACAGGAGTCGCTGGGGAAGGGCTTGGCGGAGGGAGGCTGGAATGCAGGAGGTGAGTGGAGGGGCTGGGGCAGCACAGATGCCTTCCCGAAAGAATGCATAGGAGGCCTGTCAGAGAGGGCCCGGCCAGAAGGCCAACTAGGGATTCCTAACAATGGCTGAAGCTTCCTAGGTCAGACTGGCCAGAGCAACTGGGCTCCCAGGCCCTGGAGACTCTGAGAGGGCTCCCTCAGGGCCAAAGCCCAGCATACTTTCTTAAGAGCCACACCAAAGCTGCCTCAGAAACCCTGATGCTCACCCC